AAAAAAATATGAACAGTGACAACTGTTGTGACTCACCAACCTCCACATTCAGTTTAACAGCTCTCTGCTGAGGCAGACTGAACAGTGCAGATGGAGCTAAAAGGTACGTTTGGTCTAAATTTGTCTTACGTCAAGAAAAACTAAAACACCTTGAGTATTATTTTATAGTGATCTGAGTCTGAATGAAAGTAAGTACATTTGTATATAAATGTTTGATATACATTTTTTCGGTCTTAAAACAGTACTCATATGTCCTAAGCAAGTAGCCTATAACATTCAGGGGGTTTGTCAGAGATTTTTTTGATGAAAACAGCTGCCTGCTGTGGCTGGATGTAACGCTGATAAAGTTGTGGGTCATAAATCTAAGACAAAACTGAAAGAAGGTGATGATTCTGTGTGGGTAACACCCTTAAAGCTGGGGTAGTGTAGCAGGTCTTGCTACTACCGAGGGTTTTCTCAGCACACAATCCAACAACGCAGGTTAATAATCCAAGGACCAATTTTTTTTTCTTTTGTAGAGCCGCCACAACACGTATTGAACACCACTTAGGCGCTCTTTCAAAGTCCGGTGAACGGGTTGCTCTTCATTAAGGAGGAAGTTAGTGTGATTACTCAGTGAGTACCAGCTAAGATAATCAACTCATCTGGCGCTGTTCTCACAAGCCTTTCCCACAGTTCTCTCTGTCCTGCAGCTGATTCTAAACCACACCCACCTCCACAGGTAGGTAGTATTTTTTTGCCGCCATTATGAAAAACATCCACATTAACCTTTCAGCATATTGTAGTATTCAAGTGGTCAGAGAGAAAACTAGACTTCTGCTCCTACTATTGGCTCTGTTTTCAGAAGGAAGACTTTGGCCAATCATAGGTAATTTCAGAGAGAGCAGGTGTTCTTATTGGCTGTTCTACAAATGCAGACGCATGTCCCTTCAGATGGTTCAACTTTGGAAAATCTTGCAGAAATCAACAACTATTTTTTTGCCTACCACAGTACAAAAAATGGGACATGTGTGTCCCAGCTCCACACTGGGCTTCAGGCTCATTATGTTTAATGCCATGGGTATCGACAAGAGAGGTACAATGACAGTAGGGAATATCTTTTGAGGAGGGACAGTTGAGGAGTGTGTGTGTGTGTGATGTGATGTACTAACCTCTCATCCCGCTGTTAGACAGTGTTTGTGCTCTCTCTGAAGCCTGAGGCGCTCTGCCCTGGGGCAGCGAAGCACTGGAGGACTTATCTTTGAGAAGGCGAGTCGTAGCAACAGGGGACTGGGGTCTTGACGAGGCTCACACCATGGAGAGTGGGCCCTACGAGGGATTAGGTTTTTCAGGGCAACTGACTATGTAGTGGAGTGATACGAGGTAGCAGAGAGAGACGGAAGGTTTTGCTTAGTTTTGCACAGGGTTTACCTTTAACATTACACATTGGAATGTAAAAGTATTGGTGCAGGGTTAAAGGGGAAAAGTATTGCAGAGATTTTTACTCATATGGCTTTAGAATACCTCAGGTTTTTAAATCTTTATGATTTGTTACAGTTATATTACATTTCATCCTTTCCTTGTGATTGGTAAGGATGTGTCTCATGAACTGATATCAAATTAGATTAATTGGATTGTTGGCCAGTATCTGTGCATTAACACTACACTCAGAGTCCAACCCAAGCAAACCTGAATTATCCTTACAAACTAGTTTTCGGACAAAATTACACCACTTAAAACCCCTGGTTTGCCTAAATATTGGAAAGAAAGGTCTGGCTCGAGAGCATTTTAGAATTGTTCACAGATAGAATAACTGGGACAACATATTCCTTCAACCTATTTCAAAGTGCGGCAAATTGCAGAAATTCAGTTCCCAAAAAAATTCAAGGGTGCAGAAACACTGTGACATCAAATCACAAATGTGTCTAATAGAATAGAAATCTCTCCAGACCTGAGGTTTAGAAGGCAACTGTAATGCCTCAGGCTTTCTGCAGCACAGCCTCTCAGAGATGCCTCAACCTCTCACTAAACATCTGTAGTTTCTGCAATGAAATTAATCAGATATTCAAAAATACTGAAAATATGCAATAAGTTTTGACAAGAGTGTATAATGGTATGCTATTATTTAAAATCACATCAAAATGAGAGAGAGGGAAAATAATAGAGCCTGTCAGCTACACACTAAAAATAATATTCAAGGTATGCTAAAAGCCTTGCCGTTGGATTCCAGTCATTATATTTATCAAGGACACCTTGTCTACTATATATATTCGTGCTCCACAGGGAGTATTGAAGCATTAAAGGTCAGGATGTCATTCATCCTCTCAGCAGGAGAGGATATCCTATCTGCGATGGCCTGGACACGACAGGAAAATGCTGTTAGATTCAGGGAAAGGTCAAAGTTGAAATCATTCCCTTCTGGATTAAAGAGTTGGTCTTTATTGTCAGGTTGACTTTGACACTTAGTTTTGTTATTATCTGTTTTAAAAGGCCAATCACCAGTATGTGATGAATTTTAAAGGAATCCCTCCACATTTTGAGCAATTTGCTTAATTGTTTCTTCTTCTTCTGAGATAACAAGATCAATGCCACTCTCAATGTCACTCTCTGTGCGTTGAGTGTGGAGCTGAAACCAGAAGGCCATTAGCTCAGCTGATACCATGGTCTGGGTGAATACTAAATTCTGATTGGCTGCAAGGTGTCAATTAATTCTTGATGTAAAACTGTCTGTTCACCGTTCTAAATGAATGAGCTAAAATAAATTAAATGAAAAAAAATAACACTTAACCACTAAACAGCAGAGGATTGGATAATACCGTTGTAGGTGTCCTTAATGAAGAATTAAT